AAATATATATATATATATATATAATAATTAATAAAATAAAATATAAATGAAATAAACAACAACACATTAAAAATGCTAATGCCAACTTGCAGATATATATTGAATAAAATATATTCATGTGAATAATTAAATACAGAAAAAGTCTAACATGTTACTCTATAAGTATTTATAATTTTACACACAAAAAATGCGTATAAAATAAAGATAGAAGCGTGAAATTAGCGCGGCAAAGCCGTCACAAACGCAGGGAGAACTTACGAAGAATTTCATGATGGCTTGCAGTGGTTTTTCTTGCGTGTTATGCGAGCAAACACTATGATTTCTAGGGGCGATGCAGTATGCTTTTATAGCGGAGCCCAGCCCAAGCCCAGGCCCACTCTTAGGACATCAAGCGGGGGCACGGCGTGTACGTCACACGGACCCCTTTCACTATCCACGCGACCGACACCCTTTCGAGCCCCCCTTGTTGAATGCTAACTCAACCGCAACGTCACACCTTGTCACATTTCCAATAATTTCAATAATATGACGGCAACACCCACCCAAGATACTGAAGATCACAATATAGACCATTGAAGAGACGCATCATCGCCATTCACCTGGTTCGTAAAAATAATAGGTGAACGTCCGTGTAAATGAGAGATAAAATAAGTTATATGTCGTTTAAAATAAAAAATGATGCGTTAAATTACGACGTTAAATCACAGTAATTAAATCAGCAATGATTAGCATAATCAATGTAATTTTTAAGAATTTGCAACATTACGCGAGAGCCTATGCTCAACTGCACGATATACTTTCTATATTATTATTTAACATTATCATTAAACATTACTTACATTAAACATTACTTTTATGTATTAATTATTAATTTATTCAATATTAAAAATTAAATATAAAATTAAAATCTTGTAAAATGGAAAATATCACGTTCCTTTATGGATAGACTTTTACTACTGAAGTGTATGTGTATATATTAGTAGCCTCTCTTGAAATGTAATTATTATTATGTCTGTTAAAATTTTAATTATCTGATTATTTTTAAATGTTGTAGCAAAATAAGTACATAAAAGATATCTCAAAAACGTATAATATCAAATTAATTTATTTTAATAGAGCTAGAAATAAATAGTATTTATAATTATAATTTATAATTATATAAACAATTTGTCATCAAAATTGATTGTTTTATTAAATCTACATAAATTTTTATCGCTAATTTTATAATTAAATAATAATTAATCATGTTAATAAAGTAACACTGACACACTTTCAGACATTTAATCGCAATTTTGTCACAACATATTGACATATAAACAACTATCTTTAATTTGTTATACATGACTGATCTTAGAAATTTTAAGAATGTAGTTTGCATGGAAAAAGTGGAGAGAGAAAATTTCATAAAACGTGTAGCATGTTTCTATTTAGTGGTATATTGCATAATTTGTTTTGCATATATGCCACACGTAATCATTTTGCAATTTGTTTAAATCAATCAAAAAATTATATTTGATCTTAATTAGTATAAAGGCCTTCTTCACAGTGTACAATATAAGAATTAATAAAAGATAAAGTTTGCTCGCGATAATTACATTAAATAAGAGATGTGGAAGACGTATTTGCAATCCTTTTTCAACCAAATTGTTGTTCGGTAATAAAATAGATAGGATTGTATTAATTTCATGATGGAGAAGCGCTCGCCAAAGTAGAAGGAACAAGGTGGAAAAGTGAAGAACAGATAGACTTCACATGTTAATACAATATATTAACCTATCCTATCTATTTTATTACCGAACAACAATTTGGTTAAAAAAGGATTGCAAATACGTCTTCCACATCTCTTATTTAATGTAATTATCACGAGCAAACTTTATCTTTTATTAATTCTTATATTGTACACTGAAGAAGGCCTGATGCCAGGCAGAAACGTTTGATGTAAACAATTTTAAACGAATATATTATAACCTTCGCACGAAGAACTAGCATTGTGGTTCTTCACGCTCCTTATTGATTTTATTATTATATTTGATCGTTATAGCATTGGAAAAGAGAAATAATAGATAGAGAAATAAAAGAAACCAATAAAAAAAAGACAAAGAATAAAAAAGAAGAAAAAATAGAAAAGAAAGGAAAAGATATTGGAATTGAATGGGAAATAAAAACACAATTCTTGGTTTATCACAAGACATACACGAGTCAACTTTTATTAGAAAATAAATAAGTGTTGCTACGGACAGAGAAAAAAAATGGTATGGGATTCGAAAAAAAAGGACAAACGCTCTCTCTCTCTCTCTTTCTTGTGATGTCTTCTTCAATATCACAATTGCCGCACGGAAATTTCGGTGTTAAGACAAGAAAAAAATGAAAGAACAGAAAAAGACGCGGATGTGTTCATGTCCGTATGTGTTTGTGTGAGGCATAGTGTCATATGTAGCACTCTAAAATAAGTTCGAGACTAGGTTTTTTTTTCTTCAGTTTGTTTGCCTGGTCTGCGATGGATCCGCGAGTGGTCCAAAATTTTCATCCTTCCCGAGATTCTCGAATTCCATGGAAAAACTGATTCCAATGACCCTCGCGATGATCTTCATATCCTTATTTTACATATTTTACCAAAAGTTTAAATCATTGCGAGAAGCTCTTTAGCGATATCGACCAAGTTGTCTGCTGTCATTGCGTGGTAGCAGGCCTCGGGATGATTACTAATTCGATATGGACCACTTCGGACCAGCGGGTCTAGCGGGCATCCTCAAACGGGGACTTTAGGCCCAGCCGTGTCCGTGAGCCTTGACGACGGAGATTGCGGGTTCCGGAGCGGGCACGTAATGCTCGACGCCGAGAAGATGCGGATGCGGAATATGGGGAGCATCGTAATGTATTCTGGTGACATGGGCATGGGCCTTGATATTTAGGGGCTTCGGATGCGGAGGTGGAATGGCAGGTTGCTGCGGAATGCTGAGCACGTGGTGATATTCCTGCAGTAATTAAAACCCAAAAACGCGTTAGTATCGTAATATATATATATAATATTGTATCGTACTTTCTAAACATGGTTTCATTAAAAGACATTTACGCAGCCACATAAAATTAAAATTAAAAAATATTTCTGCCATTTCATTAAATGTCGCAAAAATATTTTTAAAAAATTTACCTGCTCCAATAAGAAACTAACACTATTACTGCTGGATTTCTAAACAGCGCTTGTGAAAGCAAAAGGAACAAAGATAATTCAGGATGCTTATCATTAACTACGAAACGGGGACTCGGAGGCGGAACAACTGTTACATAAACAAATTACATCGATCATTTCGGTGCAACTGAGCCCAAGTTTCGTCACGGCTGCTTTATGGGTCTCCGGATTAAGTAGGAAATCCAATTAGCTAACGATCGCGAACACCTATTGCCGGTTCAGCTACTGCAATACCAAGCAAGAAAAACACGTAACTACCGATCGGATCTTGCGACGTAACGTAACATTAGAAATCGGCCAATCATTAAACGGAAGGCACAATCGGCGACACGACACGAAATCACAGTTTACGCGGTTTCTCGTTTTCCGAAATCTGTAATTATTGACCGACTACCGTCTGAAATCCTAAACCAACAATATGCCGCTAATATATACCTTGCGTTAATATTGTAAGCAAACGTTGAAATGCGGTACTTCAACATTTATAGTAGTAACTTTAAGATTGTTTAAATTTACGCTTCTTTAAAGAAACAAAAAGCGACGTGAATCAACAAGAAATTAAATTTTTTCATCATCTAACAAATAGCTATCAGACATTAATAATACAATTATATTATAATTCTTATAATTAATACTTATTTATTTGTGATTATATACTTTAATTTGTTCTGTCAAAAAGAGAAATTAGAGAAGCGAATAAAAATGTGCTGATATTATTTAATATCAAATAAAAAGTATTTCTAATTAAATGCGTCAGCAACGTTTCTCCACCGCAATTATCTCGGCAACTTTGCCAATATTTCTGCCTATTATTATTATTATTTTATGCAATAAATTATTTGTTCAACTTATTTGTTGCTTCAATTTGTTTTATAAAACTCGTGAAGGCGATTAGATCGCGTGTATTATTCGACTTGATAAAAAATCGACCTGGATAATGTGTCTCTACCATCATTACCTTAGCATACGCCACGGGAGCGGCGACCTTGACGTATTTGGGTGCGGGAGCGACCCAAGGCGAAGGTGCATGTACCACCGGAGCGGCGTGCACCAACGGTGCAGCATGCACCAACGGTGCAGAGTGCACCACAGGAGCTACCCAAGGCTGCTCGATCTAAGTGCGTCACAAATGATTTCTCATACGATCGAAATCGATCATCTTAGCATGGCAACAACGTGTGACATGAAGTTATTTTCCCGCCGAGTAAGTCCAAAGTTACTCGGTAGTCAGAAGAGAAATAGACAAAACCTTCGTAGTCCACGTGCTGTTGATCGATCAGCGATGAAGTTTTAAAAGATGAAGAGTTATCGCGCGGTACAAGATCATAGATAAGAGTTGAATGAGAATGATGCTTGATAGTGGAAAAATTGAAAAATGAAGATTAAGTAACCCTTCATTATTGAATAGAATTGTTGTTTAAATTTATCGACCAGTCGACTTATTAAAATTTATAGAAATGCAAAAAGAGCAATTTTATCGAAGTTAGGATGTCAAAAATGCTGTTAGGCGAAATATCATGCTTGATGAAGAGTGATGACGACAATTTTTGCTAGATTAAATTTCCAACTGAGAGATTAATAATTTCTTGCGAGAAATTAACTTGAAAACTGAGAGATTAAAAGCCCCTGCACATATTTTCCTTAAAGATAGTCGATTAAGAAGAATGATTACACCGTTGGATACCTCGTTAAGGTGTGTTTCCTCGTTAAAACCCGAAGCTCGCTCGGGTAACAAGGAATATTTAGTTAAGAAGAAAGAATCGTCAAGAGGCTTATTAAAATGATAGAAAAAGACGTCTAATGAGAGTCGAGTAATTTATAAATTTGATGAATTATGAAAATTAAATCCAGAGAAGCAATGGTAACATCGACAAACAATTAATATCGTGTTATAACAAAATAGTATTATATTTAGTATATTACGATAAAAAGATAATGTAATAGATAATATCATTTATAATTGATATGCAAATGTATGAACTTCTTAAAATAATAGTAGAATAAACTTACCGGCTCATGATATCCGCCGATAATTCCGGCGCTCGCGGCCGCCACAACGGCAAACAGAACAATCTGCAACAATTTAAATGCAGCATAATATTAAATTAATAATAATATATAAAAATGTAAAAATATATATTCAAATAAATTTTATATTTTAAGTAAATAAAAAATTAAATTAAATACATCCATGGAAAAGAATGTATAAATCACTATCGCGTGCAACAAATATATGTATATAATTACACTTTCGTATTATTATATATTATATAATACAAAATAAATATATTATACAAATGCAGAAGTTGTGTAACACCGTATAACAGAATCTCCATGAACAATCGCAAGTGGATTATTCTCGAGAGCTCGCAACGGCTAACTTTTACTTCCTGCAGTTGCACCTGTGAAGAGAAACTTACGAAGAACTTCATGGTGTGTGATGACAGTTTTTCTTGTGCGCTACACAGGGAGACACTACGTGTTCGAGGGGCGACGCGGTATGCTTTTATAGCGAGGCCCTGCCCAGGACCAGGGCGACCGAGGGATGAGGCGGGGGTACTGACGGATTGCACCGCTTCGGATGCAGACCCCTTTCACCAATAGCACGCGATCAGCCCTTTCGGATCCCTTATTCGGAGCTCGACGCCTTTCAACGACCGTCTATCGTGACTTCCGGTACCAAGACGAAACACCCTTGAAAATGCCGAGGGCTAAGTTCATCGATTCCGAGACCCCGAAAACAAAAGCCGCATGTCATTAACCCGGTTTGTCGGAAACAGCAAGTCTGCACGTAGCTCGAATAAAAAACGGCGCGTTAGATCGTGATCGACGCTAAATCGCCGCTATTAAATCGATCCAACATAAGATAATGTAGATATTTTGACATCGTCTTTTAGACATTTGTTCGGGTTGTTTTATAGGTGCAGTGCGACTCTTGCGCAAATTGCAAAAACGCCCGAGCACGTTTTCCTTCTCATACGTTCACCTCCACATTTCCCCCGGTCTCTGCGTTACATCCTAATCAGCCGCTCCATCAATACGTACGCCCAATTACACCTGCAAATCTTTTACGAACGCTACTCGCTGCACATTAGTAACCGCCGCAGTTCAACTTTGCGATCAATACACGTGCGATTTATGATCCAGAGTAATCAATCTTATGTCCGGGAATCGGCGATGCTTATTACGACGATTGCGAATAGGATGTGGCACTATTTGTTAAGTTCTGTTCGCACAATAAATCTTTTACAACATCCACCTATTGATGATGAAAGAGGTAAAGTGCGTAATACTAGTGTAAAGAAACGTAGCGGATCGTAAACTAAAAGTGTCTGCTTATTAAAAAATACATAAAAAAATTAAGTATAAAAGTAACTAACAAAAATAAAATAATTTAAAAACAGAAGGATTAATTTTGTTTGTTTAACTTACGACTACGTAATTATTATTGTTAGAAGATACGCGCGTATTCTGAGAAACCGCATTATGACAGCAGAATGTATTGTAATCATAAATCTCAGAGTATTCGTAATAGTCGGCGCACATTATTTAAGGAAGTTATAGCCGATTAAGGCAAGTTGGACAACAATAGACTTCCTCGGCGTACGATGATTCCTACGCCGTTTCTATAGCCATGTTGATTTCACAATCACCGGGTTGCGCCCGGTGCATTTTGCAGAAGACGTGACGTGGGATCCGATGGCGCAACGTCAATACGGTTCACGGAGAACAGAAAAGAGAGAATTGATCTCTCATTGCGATCGCGGCAAGACACAATCATTTCGCACGTTTATTTGTTCCGCCGTTTTCCTCGACTTGAATTTCCTTTTACACGTAAACTCGAAATGCATATTAATTTTACAATGATAAGAATGGTCCGCATTCCTTCAATCGATTCCAGTTTAATTAATTTATGGCATTGTACTATTCCATACATGTGCATATTAATTTCACAATCCGCGTTTCTTTAATCGGCATTTACCTCACCGAGGAAAACCGTGCGATCTTTTTCCACTGTTCTAGTCGTTTCATTCGTTTCAGCGGACTTGGTCTCATGTTGAAATCACCATTATTTATATATATATGCTGAGAAGTCGGTACGCATGCATTCCACTAACAATAGAACTATTATTATTACTCCCCATGAACTAATTAGATAATATGTAATATAATGAATAAGACAACTGTAACGTGTAATCATTTTTATGCAATTAAAGTGTAATAATTTCTCTTAAATAATCAAAAATCTCTCTTTAAGAGTTTCTGAAGAATTATACACGTAAAGATTTTATAAGATTCTCTTATATTTATAAAATATTTTGTGCTTTCTTATAAAATTTCAATAAGTCCAATTTTAAGCCCAATTACACAGTAGTTACTTTATTCAATTCTTATAGTTTTGCTAATTCTCGCCCTATGCGGCATTCACCCTCAGGTCAAATAAACGCGAGTTTCACGAGCAGCAGAAATTTCGCAACTAGCATTAGCTACTAGAGGTGATTATAGCCATGAACGCATTTAGTTCTGGGTCACAGTTGGAGTAAATCTCCTTTTCCCTCCCTCTCTGTCTTTATTGAAAAATCTTTATTGAGAAAGCGCACAATGCGATTTGCAGGCAAATTGTTGTTTCCGACTATAAGAAAAAAAGAGAACGTTTTTATGTTGCTTTGTTTCTATGTTTCTCCCAAGTACGTTTTTTTCGGATTGATTAGCAATAATTCCGCTAAGATTAAGGTCTTTATTCTTATTAAAAATCGCGGTATTTGGAACACGTGATTTGTGTAACCGCAAACAAACCGAATGCTATACTTTTCGCGAATGTTACGCGCGGAACAACCCCGCCACCGCGGATGTTAATACGTGGCGCACAAGTAGAATCGTTGCAAAATCTGGAAAGTTTAACGATTCCCATTATTTTGTAATGCCTTACAGTCGCGCTGCTCGAATCGCAGGAGTGAGAGATGAACGTGTGTTAAGCGGGGCGCACGAGAAATATTAATGCAACCGCGCAGTGGTGCTTGAAGAAATGAAATCTTTCAGTAATCTTTTAAACGTCAAGCGTACTGCAATGTAAATTTTTGCTATATGTGTAAATTAATACAATTCTGTTATTTTATTTCAAGCAATACAATCTAAGATTATTTGAATATTCTTTTCCAGACTTAAAAAATTTAAGAAATTGAAAAATCCCTATTTTTTATTCGCCTATGCGCCATTGCGCCGCGGTTTTTACGTGGAAAGCACATTGCTGCAATTCGCGCATCGCTGCACCCGATAAACTTATCTCCAACACATGAACGAAGCAACTTTTTGCTTATAACACGTAATATGTTGATCAGATCAGTTATCTTGAATGTCAATCTTTCACCACTTGCCTTTTTAATTCACAAATTACACTTGTTAGAGCAGCACGGAGAACGAAAACATTAAAGTATAACATAAAAAAGCATATTTTTTAAATTAATTGACTTATTTTAATTAATATTACTTTTCAATAATTATCAACTTCTCATGCTTCTTTTCAAAGATGATGATCATTAAATTAGCATACATTTAATTTTAAAAAAGCACCGATTCTTCTTGCAATTTCCGACGATGCAAGCCGCTATCATATAGTAGATAATTATTTATTTTCTATTATTTTTTTCTGCGCACTTAGTCGAGATTTAATCGCGAAAACGCAGTCGACTAATAAGACGTAAATGCTAAATAAAGCGGCTGTCGCAATCGACGGTTAATAAACACGCGAATCATCGAGTGAATCACCCCGACGTCACAATTTATGCACATCCGACTGTGAAAATCAAGAATCGAATAAGCGGATAATATCGGACGGGTCTGCGCGATTGGAAAAATCGTTGTTCATTCCGATTTCCACGAGAATATATAATCTCAATACACTGATATTCCAAATTTCCTTATTATTAAACGCTACATTTACAACGCTTGCGTAACGTTGCCGTATTGTAGTAGCACAGCTATTCCATTGCGCATACAAGCGATTTCGCACGGTAGCGAAACGCGATCGCGTACCAAAACGCGCGATAATATTCGCGAATAATTGGCAATGGAAAAATCGTTTAGGCAAGTGAGACTCCTTACGTAAGATGATATTGCGTAAAGAACTTTCGTTCAAAAAAATCACAATCTAAAGGTCTAGAGTTTACAGCTTTTAGTTGAGTGTAAATTACAAGTAATATAATACATGATTACGCGTAAATTTTTATTATACAATATAAAATGTATTCAATATTATATTTCTATTAGTGTAATAAAATACACTTTTTGATTATTATTATAATTATTATATATATGTTGCCATCTTATATATATTTATTGCACATTACGTATTAATATAAAATAATAAATTAAACATTTTTCTTCTATAAATAGAAAGCATGTTTAGTTCATAACATCTACATAATATTAAGAAATATAAAACATCGATAGATATTACATAAATGTAACTTTCAATTTGAGAAAAATGATAGCGGAATTCTATCTTTTCTTACATACCTCATTCTGTACCTTATATAAAGTTTTTGAAGAAAGCAGATAAGATAAAAGTTAAAGAGAGAAAGTACAAAAATTATTTAAAGCTTTAATACTAAAGAGAGAGGAGTTGAAAAATTGGAGCCGCTAAAATTAATGAAGCATCATAATCACCGAGTAATGAGCGCAATTTCACAGCAACCAATTAATAAAAGGATAATGCTCTGAACACTATGAAAAGAGATCGGCAATATAGTTTGTACATCTTCAAAGTTCATAATATTGCTAAAGTTTTGCAAGGGGGGAAAGCTGTAACCCTCAAACAGTTGCACGCAGTGTATAACAAGCGTAAGTTAGTATAAATTAATACTTTATAACCACAATAACTATAAATAAATGCACACGACAATTATCTGTTCAATCTGTGATCTAGATCATTGGCAAGCATGTTAGTTCTGTGAGGTCATATACAAAGTGCTCCGATATTTCTAGATTAAAGGCAAAGACGACAGACAACCGCAAAAAGAATCGCCAGGTGCGTTTGTTAAATCGCGATCTTGGCAAATGACCGGAATGCCGATTGATGACGCCTTTTCATCAAACGCGACAAGCAATGTCGATGACGATTGATTTCTATGCCCGTCAAGTCGAGCCAAGTGCTCCACATTTTTATTCAAGGATCATCGTTAAAAAAATCTTGAATTTTTAACTCAAAATGTCATGAATCTCAAACTTCAAACGTCAATATAATGCGTGTGATGCTGCTTCTTTTTAAATATAAATATTCTTTAATTCGCGTCATCCGTTCCGTCCGATTGTCGGCGTCCGCCAAGCTCGCAAGCGTAATTAAATAATTAAAGCTTGATCAGGCTCGAGGGCGTAAGCCCTCCGGGCAGTATGGAAGTTTACTTTCTAGGCAAGAGTGACGCTGTCACTCGCTTGCGAATTCCTCGCAGATATGGGAATCCGTATACCCGCCGGGAATTGTGGCGCAATTGCCATCCTTGGACGCGAATCTAGAGCAACATGTTGCAGTGCACGATATGCTCTGAAAACTGACCTGACCTATTGAAAAGATCGTAAAATTCTGATTAAACTCGCGATAGACTGCAAAATTTTCTTATAAAACGGATAATATAAAATCTGTAACTTATTATATATTATTTGCATCTCTAATTAGACATTTCTGATTTACGACCATTACTATAATGTTGATAAAATTACAGCTAATTATGACCAAGCGTACTAAAACGCAAAATACGCTTGTTGGTCGAATTCTCGGATGATGAGCGCGATAAATCTTTGCCTTGAAGCGAATGTTTGAATAAAAAAGATCCGTGGAATGAGATGATGCTATTTGTAAGTAGACTGAGATCAAAAGTTAATCCAGTAAATTATATACATCCTCCGTCCGGCTTTTAGTTAATTAAAAAAACAGCGAGACTAACCAAAAGTTAAGATCGGGAACTAACGGATTAAGCTTATTTTAAATGATTAATAATACACAATTATATATTGTAAAAAATCGTAAACGTAAAATAATTAATAATCACAAACTATACAAATGGTATCAAAAATAATAAGATAATGTAATTATTATACTGTTTAAATCATATTGTATTGATTATTGATTATTCTACCACAAATTATGAAAAATTTGAGATACACTTAAAATTCAATGTGTGCAATAAATTATATTTTAAATCTTTCGTAATTTTAATTACGCCAAAATGCAATAACTTTGAATATTACAAATGGAACTGATGCTTCTTTTTCGCGCAAAATAACACGGTTCTCCATGTGTTGTAACGGGTGGTGCTACTCGATACCCTTCACTTGCGAATATTCCAAGTCGCACTGCGCAAATGACAGCGATTTATTGCGAGCGTTATTCACTCCACTGCGAATCATTACCACACTGTGTAATTTATCTATGTCCCGTAAGAAAAAAAAATACGAGAGCTAGAATAATATAAACCTGACCTATTTTAACCAATATATAGATATAAATTGGATAAACATTTGACTTTATGTAATTTTTTATGAATTACATACATTAACTCTATAATTGCAATTTATAATTAAATTTTATTTCTACTAATTATGTGTTTTCCGCATATTTATGATGGAAATCAAAGATTTGCTTTTAGATCCTAAATATGTAATATGAAAATATAATTAAACACGAAAGCGTGCGATTTGAAAATAGATAAGCGAGCCCATAGAACTTCGTTACCTCTACGAAAGTAATGACTTTCGCATTTTCCCCAAACCCCATCGCCGCGAAATGCGTTTGCGAGCAATATATAAGCTGAAATTATTACAAACTGAACGCATGCACGTACACATATGCGGACTTTCATCGCGAAAGCGTGGCGTTGGCGCGATCAAAATATAAAATCGTATTACTGTATCCCGGAAGAAAACGCGCCGCTCCGGTTACCGCAACCAGAAACGCGTTGTAAAACGCATAAACAGTTCGTAACTAAATTACATCGTTCCTTGCCCTCTCCTTCTTCAATGCCTAGTATATCGGAAAGCACTTTGCATATGTCTGTGTTATTCCAAATGCATTTCCTGCATTTGAAAATCTCGCCATAATAAAAAGATAGCCGTAATGAAAAAATAAAACTCACGGTTGTATTATTACACGCGACTAATCTTCCTGTCGAGCGCTAATTGTTAATAGTTGCTGATCATATTTTCAGCCATATGTAACATACCCAAGGAAATAACTGCAGAGCCTAAGTATCTATCAAAATGTATCAGAAATTCGTCTTTTGAAATTTAATTAGCCAACGCATTGCCATATAAATAAGATATGTGTACAATTATATAATATATAGTCTTTAATTTCTTAACAGAAGAATTATTTAAATTATTTAAAGTTTTTTAAGTATAGTCTTGAAATTTATATTTTTGCTTCCCTTATTTATTATAAAAATCATTGTTGCTGCAAGAATAATAAATGCAAGAATTATCATACTTGTATAGTTATCCCGCAAACTGTCTATTATATAATCAAAGAATCAAAGAAATATAGTAATAACCATTGATGTAAGCTAATTTTGCATAAAACATTTTTATGTAAAAAAAAATTAACCTACAATTTCCAGAGATTCAATTTTATAGCTAAATCTTTTACATCATCAGGAAAATTAGTCTGCTCTGTCATTGATTATAATTAGTACCATTCTCCAGAGAGATTCAATTTCAGCTAAATTTCTTACCTAGAAAGTTATATCGGAATCGATCCTTTTAGAATAACGTTATTCTTCAATCCTTACTAGTATGTACATACGTGAAGAATGAATAAATCTATTTTATCTACTGTCGAGACCTCAGGGCCAGACTTTCTTATGGACGATTCACACTGCAATCGTTATTCTGATACAATATCGAACATCCAATAGGAAGAGTTATTTTCTAATGACAAATATAGTGTCAAACAAAATCCCTAAAAAGTTTGTTTTTTTTTATTAGTTGCAGTATTTTGAATACATCGGACACCGAATGCACTGTGAACCCTTCATGAACGAATGTATGCAAGTGATGCAAGTGCATTCTTTCTTAACAAAAGCTGCGTTCCAAAATTCACTATCAGTACTGAAAATCTACAATATAGGTAACGTAAACTATAGATTTTTAGTACTGGCAGTAAATTTCGGAACACAGCCGAAGTTCCACCTATTATATGACGACTGTCTCACTCCATTCCTCCTCAAGACAGTGTTGCGATATAGGACCGGTTGTATGCGCATGTGCG